CGCGCTAGCCGCGGCGCTGTGCTTCGTGAGCAGGTCTGGTGTGGCTGTGCAAGGCCCTTCAGAGGCTCCGAGGCGCCTGCTCTGTCGAGGCCAGGAATAGCTGCCAGCCCCACCCGGGCGTTGAGACCTGACAGGGGAGGCCAGGGAGAGCAGGGCCAGGCAGGGATCTCCCATTGCCTGTGTTGCCCTGCCAAGGAGGTTCCTCCTGTCGATTTCCCACGCTTCGCGGCTGGCCCCAGCGCCCTTGAGTCATCCTGACTGAGCATCTTTGAGTCACCTTTGATTCAGAATTCTCCAGATGGAAGGGGCCAGGGGCCTATATGGGGCCTTTCCTTCTTCTTATAAATGAGGAAACCAAGGAGCAGAGATGGCGAAGTGACTAAGACTGGGCAGCCGCGCGAGAGTGACAAGAACACGGGTCAGACGTTGGTCTCCCACCTCCGTGTGCCTGAGGTGGTTCAGGCCAGTTTATTGCGCTCTTAACAATGTACCATGCACTGCCAGGCACTTTATAATTACTGGTCTTCATCTCTCACTACATCTGACGACGTAAGTATAATACTATCAGTGACTCCCTTTTATAGATACTACATCTGACGACGTAAGTATAATACTATCACTGACTCTATTTTATAGATGGGGAAACTGAGGCACAAGGAGGTTAAGTGGTGGAAGAGCAATTAAAATCTAAGCAGTTTGACTTATTTTTCTCTCATTTCACATAATTTTATTTTATTATTTTCTTGAGAGATTTTTGCCACAGGGCACATGGACTCATGCCAGAGAGACAGAAAGTGAGAAATCACCGCCCGGGAGGATGGCCACGTGGCAATCCCTTCTCCTCCAGTCTTCTCTCAGGATTTTGGGCATGCATGTAGATATGCCCAGTGTGAGTTTTAAGCCACCAGGTCTGGGACTTGAACTGTGATCAACTACATGGGAGTTCAGTGATGTAACCATTACACCATCTGATGGCCCCTTATTTTAAACCATTACACCATCTGCTGGCCCCTTATTTTATTTTATTTTATTTTAGAGAGGACATGTGTACTCACCAGAGAGACAGAGAAGAGGTGAGAAATCACCCCCCCCGGGGGGGGGATGGCCACACCACAATCCCTTCTCCTCCAGTCTTCTCTCAGGATTTTGGGCATGCATGTAGATATGCCCAGTGTGAGTTTTAAGCCACTGAGCCTGAGACTTGAACTGCAGTCAACTACGTGGGAGTTCAGTGATGTAACCATTACACCATCTGCAGATCCCATTCTTCTTCCCTCATTTAAAGAAAACTTGCCATAGGACACCTGTGCTCACCAGAGAGAGAGATAAAGCACCTGCCACCCTGAAACAAAGCATGGTCACTCCACAATTACTTCTCCATTTTTCCATCCAGTTGGGATTTTGGGAAAGCACACACATGACTTTTGTGTTTTCAAGTAGCCGGATCTGGGACTGGAACCTGTGAGATTGTAGATGTGGAATCCAGCTCCCTTAACCATCAGACCAAGGTCTGACCCTTAAGCAGTTTGACTTCCAAAAGGCTTCTCCAAGATCCCCAGAGCTATGAAGTCCTGTCAATTCTTTCTTTGAAAAATTCACCCAAGTGACCATTTCCCCTACTTCTAGGATATTATCTCTGATAGAGTAATCATGGTTACAACATGCAATTTTTTTTTTTTGAGAGAGAGTTTTACTATAGGGCGCATGTGCTTGCCAGAGTGACAGAGAAGGTAGGAAATCAAACCCCCCCACCCCCAAGGAGGATGGCTGCACCACAATCTCTTCTCTAGTCTCCTCTTGGGATTTTGGGCACACGTGCACATGTGCTCAGCGTATTTCAAGCCTCCAGGACTGGGGCTTGAATTGCAGTGAGCTATATAGGATGTAGGAGTCTGGCAACTCAACCACTATGCCACCTGTTGGCCCTAGCTTGTATTTTTTGGAGATGATATGCTAGATATTTTTCTAAAGATCCTGCATTAACTCAATCCTCAACAAATTTAGGAGGTAGTATTTTAATTAATTAATTATTTAATTTGCTATAGGGCATGCACACACGCCAGAGAGAGACAGAGAGACAGAGAGAGAGAAAGTGAGAAAGCATGCCCCAGAGGAATGGCTACACTGCAATCTTTTCTCCTCCATTCTCTTTTTGGGATTTTGTGCATACATGCACACACATCGATCATGTTTTTCAAGCTACCGGATCTGGGACTCCAACCATGCAGTCGGCCATGTGAGATCCAGCCACCTTAACCTCCTTGCCTCTTGCTTATCCTTGCCACCCTTTATCCGCTGGATAGCTAATTAATACCCTCTTCCACTGACATGGATGACATTGTTTTTCAGGAATCAGTTTCTGAGAAGAGATCAATATACAAGAAACTCACTAGAACGTGCTCTTGGAGTGAACAGCTATGGAAGGAAGCAGAATTGGGTACAGAAATAAGTCAAGCTTGATGCGTTTAGTAGAGTCCTCCCTGGACCTTATGGGAGTTCTGAAGCTGGGATGATTCTTCACAGTTGTCCTAAAATGGGGTAAGAAAGTTTGTTTCATTTAGGAAAATCTCTGCAGGGGCTGATAGTTGAGGACTTTCTGTTGAGACCACACTGAGCAGCTGGAGGGAAGAAGACCATTCCTGAAGGGAGATAAAGGTGGACTATCACAGGACCCATCATGATCTACCTCTTACACTACTTGGATCCACTTACATTCTAGGAGCAGCTCCACCTGCACACTGGTGAGTCTCCCTTTGTGGTGTGAACTTAGAAGAAGAAAAACAGTGGGAAGAATCACCACTCAGTGCAGTTGATCTCAGAACAGAGGTGAATACGCATCATTCTCCTCTTCTATCCATTCTAGATTTTCTTCACCCTTAACTAGCACCTCTGCTGACTTAATTGGTATACCTGATACTGTCACCCAGACTTTCACCCTGAGCCATCTGAGCCCCAGTAGCCATGCCGTCATCAAGCCATGGTTGTTGTACTTGTCTTTTTAAACAATTGTCAGAGATTACATGTGCTTGGCAGAGAAAGGCAGAGAGACAGAGAGAGTGAGAGAGAAAGTGCCCTCTCTGTTGGGCCTTGGTTATGCTGCAGTCTGTTCTTCTTCACTTCTCCATCCTGTTGGAATTTTGGGCATACACACATGCCTCCTGGGCTAGAACTTGAACTGTGGTTGGCACATGGGATCCAACTCCCTTAACCATTAGGCTCTGGGGCCAGCCCTGCTCTTGTCTTTTCACAATGAAAATAGGACAAGAGGCACCAAGTGGACCAGCTGGATGCCAGACATATTCCCCTATGGCTCCATTGTGTAATAGCCACTGTTCCTCTTCTTGACAACCAGGTTCAACTCTATAGCCTAGAAGGTGATATCTCTTCATGCCTGCTGGCCCCTTCACACAAGGAAGTCAGTGTTTTCAGGCAGCAGCCATAACGCTTTCCCCTGCTGGGCACATTTCCTCTTTGGGAACCAGAAGCTCTAAACCTGCAGGGACTAAAGTTGTAGGCATTGAAAACACAAATTTCCCAAGTGGGTCACTGGGAGGGGTGGTGAGCAGGGCCACTCCTGCTTTCTCCCTTTGGTTCCGGACTTGTGCGTTCTTGTTGTTGGGAACACAGCACCATGTAAGGTTGCTGGTGTATAGTGTATGCTGAATGCTGGAAGAGAACACCCTTTTCTCCCTAGGTACCACTTCCAAGCTTGCTCTTCAGCTGCCATTCACCAACCCATCACTGTGTATCAGGCTGGCAGTTTTTGGGAAATGTGATATGGGATGTGACCAGTAGAACCTGTAGTCATATACCTACTTTACACCTTCTTTGCTGAAAAGTGGATTCCTGGTCTGACATGATGGGATCCCATGCTGTCATTCAAACACTGTAAACCTCTAGATAATGGTGATGATTGAGGACCAAGGGCAAGAAACATTTGTGAACTATGTATTTCTGCCAAAACAAACTGCTTCACCTTTTGGGAGTAGAAGGAATCCAAAGTAGGGCCAGTGGGCAGTATGGTGGTTAAGGAAGCTGGTTACCATGTGGCTGACTGTGCAATTTGAGTCCTGGACCTGGTGGCCTGAAAAACATGCTGGGCCACATGTATGTATATGGTGAAAACTCTGAGGAGAAGGGATTTTGGTGTGGTCATCTTCCTGGGGTTGCTTTCTTACTTTCTGCCCCACTCCAGGAAGCGTACATCCCCTGTAGCCAAAAAAAAAAAAAAGAAAAGAAAAAAGAATGTGATGTAGTTAACTCACCACTAAAGACGCTGGTTGGTCTCTTTAAGGTGAGGGGACATACTGGGGATTTGCCTGTTGATTTTGCTGTTGGCAAGTTGGACACTTGACAGTACGAAAGGTATGTCAGCCTTGGAAAGCTGGCGTCCAGGCTATTGGGCCTGTGCTAGTGGCTGATGGCTACACACTGCCACCAAGCCTGTTTTGGGGGGATGCACTATCATTGCGATCACTATCAATGAGTCCAGTTCAGTAGTGGCATTTTCTATTATATGCCTTGGCCTGAAGAAGAGAAGATGACAGGGGCTGGTTCTTCTCTCACTGAGTCCTTATTACTCCAGTAAATTGTGGGTTCTCCAGGCTG